TATTAGTCGTAGAATATATTTAACGTAAAAATTTTGAAGATTTTCTTATATAAATTATATAAAATATATTTTCTATCAAAAGAAGCTGAGTAGTTTGAGTGATGTGTTTCCTTACCTTAGCTGATGATAACCTCATGATTTTCAACAAGAAAAATCCGTTGCTTAGTTTAATAGTCAGAACTGCTTACATGTAAGTCTTTTCAAAAATCAGACATATTTAAATATCAAATATAATATTGATTCATATTCAATCCACATCTACCAATTACCGCACATTTAATAAAGTTTTATTACTGTACGGTATATTCGAGCAGAAATATTCATAAATGTAATAACCAAACCCTGGAAAACTCCAGTTTGCAAATCAAAAGACCAACAAGAAATACGTAAACGTTTTAACCCGAAGTTCCCTGTCGAATAAAACTTATAAAGGAAATATTCGTTGCTTGTGCATGTCGAATCTCGTGCTGGAATTTCAATTATTATTGTTCGGTTTCCTTAAAAAAGTAAACAAGAAAGTTATTTTCTAAGTTATATATGGAAAATAAAAAGAGGTTTCGCTTTACCTTTAATTTAAGCTGTCACTTACGTTTCAGCTTCGGCAGTTTGGTATAAAGAGCTTTTTGGGATACCTATTTATGTTAGCTGAGTGGTTAACTTTTTACTTAATTGGAGGATTCAACATGTTGCAGCTCAAAAAAGCTGCATAACTTCTGAGCGAACTATTAATGACGAAAAATTAATTATCAAAATATAAATAAGAATAAAATGATTCAACATAAAGTATGGAGAAGCAGTAAAAAGATTGACCCTATTTAAGCCTGACACAGCGAAGAAATAATTTACTTATTCGTGTAATAAAAATGAAACTTATTCCGTTAGTTAAAATAGATCGAGAAATATAAAAGGCAACAAGCTTTTTTTGATCAAACTTTCTTATGTTGGCAATATTTTTTGGAAATCACTTTAAAGCCTGATAGTCGCCAGTTTCATTCAATTTCATAGTGGACATTAATCCAAAAGTTTCATAGTCTGATTAATCCAAAAACTTTGAAAAAATTAAGAATTAAAATGAAAAATTGCTAGTGGTCTTTTCATTCAGGTTTTGGGATTCAAAACTTGCGTTGCAACAACTGCCTACACGAACAAACTGATGATGGTGGAAAAACACCCAAACGTTTTAATGACTAAATTGTGATATTTTAAATAAATGACTGAAACCCAGGAACATTGTTTATGCTAATATATAATTCATAGTTACTTTCTTAGGCATTTGATATATTAAAACATTAGAAATTTAACGCAAAAAATGAAAAGAGTGAAATTCAACGCAAATTACAAAGCAGGCAGGAAGTTTGAGCATATGTAATTTATTTCAAAAGAGCGTTAATTTGGGACTGATTCAACCATCACTGGATGCAAGTTAACCGCACTTAGAATTCATCTTTAATCACCGCTCTTCATCAAAAGTTTAAACTAAAATGATTAGACTTTTATTATTCAACAACACAGGCATTATTACTATTGAAGCAAGTTTTATTGCAGTTTTAGACCGATGTTTAGCTTAATTAGTTATCGTTTTGTACCCATATTTGCAACTGTCCGTTCCAATTGCTGATTTATTTTCAACTTTCCCGCTTACGTTTACCTTTTAGGCAAATATATCATGAGCGCTTTGCATATATATTTTACTTTGTTTAAGCAAAACCCAACCTCTAGGTTAAATAGTTCCCAAAGCGCTATTTCCATAATATAACGTGCACACAAAGATAAATCTTTCTTTTTATGTGTGGTGTACATAACAACTTACTACGAAATTTTGCCGACCATGTCAGTCCGAAAAATGGGGTGCATTGCAGATAATTCTGAGAACAAATGTCTGTTTTGTGCCGAAAAAACCACAATAAAACTGTTTGTGATTTCCTCGAAAAAATAAGTGGTTTTCGCTTAGAATAAGGAGTTTAGTGTTTAAGATTAAGAGAGAGAATTTATATTTCGAAAATGTTGCTTAAAAGCGCTATAGTAAGCGTGCAAAAATTTTTTTTCTTACATAGAGTGAAATTTATATATTTTAGAATTGCTGCCAACAAATATCTGAAAAAGGTTAGCAAATATGTACTTTAGGCAACACTCGTACGAAGTAATCAATAGAGAATTATTTGTAGGTAAAAGTTTTATGACGTACGAACAGAACACGAAACAAATTAAACCTTTAATAGCCTGAAAAAGTTATTTAAAAGTTGAAGTTGAATATATTTGAGGTTTCATGTGCAGTCGTTTCAAAACTCATTATTTTCCCTATCGGAAGTTAAAAGCATTTAACTATACAGAGTGATTTAGAACTACAGAATCAAACTTCTAGAGGTTGTTCAGGGCAGCAATGGACGACATTTTAATATAAGACTCCATGTCTCCCAAATGCCGTTTCGTGCAAAAATGTTTTCTCGAGTTTTAAGGCAAACATCAATTTACGATTTTTACCAAGCAATATTGATAAAAATTCCTTGGACTCCTGATTGCAGAATAAATTTCGGTCTAAAATTGGATTCTTTTAGTTAACTGGGCTTAAACTTAAAAAATTGGTATCTTTCCAACTAAAGCAAGTAGCAGTTTCAAAATATCGCCATCTTTCGAAAGCTCTTCAGCCTAAAAATTCTGAAAGTTTGCAAAAAATATCCGAGAATCCAGATGTTTCCAGATGAGAAATTATCGGTCTCAAAATTGACGCCTTTGTTCAAATGCACGATACCCATTAAAAATTCGCATCTTCCAAACTAAAGCAAACGTCAATTGTAAATTTTCACCGCCCATCGGCGACAGTCGGCGTTAGCAACTCTGAAAGTTTGATGATAATTGTGCAGAATGCTGATGTTTTCCAGCTTAGTAAATGTCGCTTCCTTTCCGCTTTCCCCGCTTTTTCACTCAACTGCCCTATTTCCATTAAAAATTCGCCTCTTCCAAACCATAGCAAAAAGTAGTTTGACATTTTCAGCATATTTCGAAAATACTTGACTCTATAAATGCCGATAGCTTCATAATATCGCCTATAATTCTGACTTTTTTCATCTAAGCTAAGTAAATATAGGTCTGAAAATGGCTATTCGTACTCAACTGCTGTCTCTTTAAAAATTCGTCTTTTCGAAATTAAAGCAAGCAGATAATTCACATTTTTACCAGTTAGAAAGCGCTTGGCGCAAAAAACGGGGTAATTTTAAAAAATATCTCATAATCCTGATCTTTTCCAGTATGTTTAACTGTCTTTTGAGGACACATTTTACAAACGCGGACAGTTTAAAACAATTTATCGGCGAGAATACTAATTTTGCCAACTTAGTAAATATCGGTAATAAAAATAGATCCTTTTACTCAACTTATATTATCTCTTACGAACTTCAAAACTGAAGGAAGTAGCAAATTTTCACCATCTTTCGATGGCACTCGACTCTAAGATTTTTCCAGATTAGTAAATACCAGGATGATAATGGATGATTATACTCTACTGCGCTCTCTATTTAAAAAACATCATCTTGAAAACTGAAGCAGGTGGCATTTTGAAATTTCCACATCCTTAAAAGCTTTAGAGACTCGAGCAGTTTTATCACAATAATCCTGCTATTGCTGGCTTAGTAAATACCGGTCTCAAAATTAATGTGTTCACTCTACTGCACTCGATGCTTGAAAAATTCGCTTGTGCCAAAGCAAACCAAGCAACAATTAGATAATTTCACCGTCTTTAGAAGATACTTCACACTGCAGACTCTAACAGTTTCATAAATATGGCTCAGAATCCTGAGTCTTGCATTGAGTGAACTTGAGTGAAATCACAAGAGAGAGGAAATGAAGTTGAAACTCATACAACATTGGATGAAAGTTAAACAGTTTTCAACTTTACACGACATCGGACGCATGTATAAAAGATCTGACTCAATAGAACCGCTGTGGGATCGTCGGACGTTTGGAAACATGCATGGGACTTCCGCTTGAGGAGGGAGATATTTCCGGACATGGAAAAACATTCATAAGCAAACGTCTTCTATAGTTTTACTGAAAAATCCCTAGAAGCTTCAATCATAGTTCTAAATCATTATCTACTAGCCAATTTCTTCGGCTATTTGATTAGTTGATTAGGTTATTTGCATTTTTGCTTACTGAGCTCCGTTGTTACTTAACATTTTTGATAAATGCTCTTCGATTTTTATTTTTAGTTGCATTTTTCTGATGGCCGGATTATTTACACAAAGCGACTATGAACCTGATTTTTAAATATTTTGTTTCAAATATCAAATCGTCATATCCCAAGAAACGTAAACTGGGAATACTGGAAATAATAATACGTTTTTTCCCCTTTCAAACTACCATTGAATCTTTTATCAAATTGAGCAAGACGTTCCAGCTGAATCAAATAAAATATTATTACTACATATAGAATCCAGACTTGCAGCGCTTCTGTATTGGGCCATAATTCCCAATTGACCGGCTTCTGAATAGAGTCATTTCACAGCCCGATGTATTGAATACAAATAAATTTCAAGGAAAGTGAAAATAAATCGATTCGAAAGTGTATTAATTTTATATCAGCCATTTCAAAGTCGATTCAATATTTTGTCAAAGGAAAACTTAGCAGGCTCCTAATTTAGGAGCTTATCTCTAAGTAAATTAGGAGAATGTTTGTAATTAATAGTAACGAGGCGGAAAAGTAGCAAATGCTACAGGGTTGCTCAAAGTGATTATAAATTAAACCTTGGAAATAGTTACAATTCCAAATGAATGGGACACGATTCCAAGGAAAATATTTGAATATCGTGATCAGATTTCATCAATTAAACCTCGAAAAGTTTCAATTCCATTTAGGAGAGTTTCAAAACTTTGAAAGCTCCAAGACGATTTTCAATAGCTTCCCAGTAAATGATGGTAAGTGGGATGGTACCACATGCAAATAAATGAGTGTCAACGATCCTAAACAGCTGTTGGACGCTTTAAACCTCAAACCTCAAACTCACCGGTCCCATGTTGACGAAGCCGTGACGTTTCGCGACCTGGTGGGCCTCATCAGGGTTCAAATCGCGTTTGAACCTAACCAAAAATGAGTTACTGAACAAGTCAGCGACAACGAATGAAATTAGCGAAAGAAGAATGAAAAAAATCGGCCTCCAAAGAAGAGGCATGATCGTCGGCTTGACGCGAAAGAAACGCACGACTAACTAGACGTCGGTTGTGGACGCCTGGCGTCGAAAATTTCGCGCATCTTGACGTCATAACATCGATTTTGACGAAGCATGCTATTGGGGCACCTATTCTGAGGGGTGACGACGGGTGACCATAAGCGGGGGGATGACACAATTCATTTCTTTCGGGAAAAAATGGGAGATCTGGCGATTTACAATGTAATTAGGGTGGCGATAACAGTGCGAGTAAACACTTGAACGAGGACTCGGTTTTTGTAATTTGTGGTTTATTTGATCATTGTCGAGATTATCGTTCTGTTTTATTGCACGTTTTTTTCCCGATTTGAAACCAATAGATACTGAGTGATTCAACATTAGCGTCATTCTTCGGGGGGTGTTTGGGGAGCAAAGGAAATATGGAAAACAAATTAATTCTTATCAAAAACTGGGATATTTGCAAAAAACTAGATCAGAAGGGCGGCAACAATGTTTTGCAAGGAACCTGCCACATTAGCATTACGTAAATATATGTTGCTTCTTCTGTTCAATCATGATTGAACAGATAAAGGCAGGAGGACGAATATTGACCCAAGCTATATGTAAGCTATTCAACCTATGTTTGTTCGATGGACAAATTCCATCAGTGTGGAACAACGCAATAATCACCATCATGCCCAAGAAAGGGGATATTGCAGACTTACAAAATTACCGTCCCATTAGTCTATTATCTCATCTATATAAAATGTTTATGAAAATTATAACAAAGAGATTGACGAATAAATTGGTTTTCTATCAACCTGTAGAACAGGGAGGCTTCCGAGCGGGCTTTGGTACTAAAGACCATCTTCAAGCAATGAAAACCCTTATTGAGAGATGCGTGGAATATAACCAGCCTTTAGCTCGAATTTTTGTAGACTTCCAGAAAGCATTCGACACTATCGACCAGTAAAAAATGCTCGAGGCGTTAACTGAATGCAGAATCCATCACAGATATATCACTCTTATAAAGAACATATACGCTGGAGCAACGGCATGTGTGAAAGTGCAGAGTTACAGACGCTGTTGAAAGGATAGCTTCCCTAAAGTGTAACTGGTCTGGACATGTGGCCGGTATGAGGGATGGAAGGTGGACTAAAACACTACTGGAGTAGAGACCACGACAAGATGCCACACGAAGTAGAGGACGACCTCCTACTAGATGGCGAGACGATCTGAGGCGCTTCAAAGACAATTGGATGCAGGAGGCACAAGATAGAAGAGCATGGACAAAGTTACGGGAGGCCTATGTTCAGCAGTGGACAACTATGGCTGTGTGATGATGATGATGATGATGTTGCTTCTTAAATATCAAAATATCAAGTAACCACAGATAAACACAGAAAGCGAGGTTGAAATGTAATGAAATAGGTTAGGGTAACGGATTCAGTTCGGAGTATTACCGGGTACCTATTTGAATCAGTTTCGCGTATTCGGTTATTAACTCATTCTCAATTTGTGTCTCATCAATTTGTCCCCGTGTTCAGTAGACCAGGAAATTTAATCTGTTTAAGAATACTTAAGCATTCCAATAGGCTGCCAATCGAACATGGGACCATTTCAAAATAATACTTAATAACAAAGCTGAAATTCGATATTCAACTGTTATTATCTTGAAGAAATTGTATATTGAAAGAAAAAAACACGTTCTACACGTTTAGTAGCAAACGTGTGAGTTTGAATGTTGGTGTTTTCAGACTGAAATCGCCAAGATGTTTAAAAATTGAGTAGATTTTAAAACATTTTTGGTCAATGTAAATTTCAGTTGATTAAAATTTGCAATTTGCTTCTTATTACTGGTTTTGAGATACATTTTTTAACAGAACTTTAAGTACCATTTTGGTGTTTTCAGCCCAAGTATGCAAGCTTCTCAAAAATCACTGAGTACTTTTTCAAAAGGTTTTCCATTTTTTGAGCTAAAACTTCTATAAAGAGTGCTGTGGTGTAAGTTTGAATGTTTATATTTTCTGTCCTGTGGTTCTGTGTTTGTGGTTTAGTACCATTTTCACATCTTCTATAAATTGTGTGAAAATTTCACTCTAGCTCTACTTGAACTAATGTTGGAATTATAACTTTTTGTTAGCAGCAGTGTAGTTTCAATGTTGATGCTTTGAGGCTAATGTTTGCAAACTTTCTGCAAAAAGTCTGCAGAGTGATGAGTTTTACAACATTTGTTGTGTATTATCCTCTATAAATCGTGTAAACATTTCAAACGGCTACTTGCTCATTTTGTCAAATTACTATTTTTTATTGGTGGGTGTCTAAATTAGATTTGCTATTTTAAAGCCCAAATTTGCAAGCTTTGCAAATCTTCTATAATTTAACTATTTATTACACAGTATACTCTATAATTTGAGTATTGATTTTAAAGTGCTTCTTGCTTGAGTTACCGAGTTAAGATTTTTTAGCAGCTATGTAGGTTTGAGTTTTAATGCTTTTATGCCCAGGTTTGCGAAATCAGCGCGCGTTTAACTTTTTGTAAAATTTTTGATACTCTTTTTATCAATATTTCCTTACATATTTGTTTTTAGTTTAGTTAGTAGCTCATGTTTGCCAGCTCTCCAAAAATAGATGGGGATTTTCATTTTCGTACAATGTTTACTCAATTTTTGCTAAATATGTTTCATAAAACGTTTAAAAATCGTTTTGTTTTTATCTATTCTCAGTGTGTGGGTATAGTTCGTAGTAAGATATCCTTTATCTAAATTACTCAAAATACACAAAAATATTACTAATACAAATAGCAATGTCTAGATAAGTCATGCAATTAATATGATTAGAATTTTTAAAATATTTATATCAACAAATTTAAAATCAATTAAGATAAAAATATTATGCAGCAAAAGCTCCATTTGAATAAACAAATATAACGTGAATGAAAATTGTTTTGAACATTTACCGTATATAAATCCTAGTAAATACACTTTATCACAAGCACGCAAATTTTGCGAGGTGATAACACGAATGCTGCAAATTTTCCGATAATTTTCATAAAAGCTTTTTGTTTATTATTCGAATTTGCACAAAACCAATGAACTACCAACAAATGTATGCGGGGAAATATACAGGGTGATTCACAACTTTATGGACACAGAGCAGGGGCGTGGAGAGGACCTCAAAGCAGATCGAGTTTTTATTTAAGTTTTTTTTCTCAGGTCCATGGTTACCAAAATTAAAAAAGTGTTAAAGTTTTAAAAAAATTTTGAATTTTCTCTTTAACTACTACGGTTTCTGAGATGCATTTGTTGTTCAATTTAAGAGTGTCTCTTGCAGTTTCTTCGTATCTGTCTTCGTTTTCGAGTTATTTGCACAAATATAAGTCCATGTAAGGTTTTTTTCTATTAATTTTTTTAGAAACTTTTTCGTGTCTTTTTGTTCATATTTTTGCTGTGATAGGTTCAAGTGCAAGTTGAAGTTAAAATAGGTATGGCTGGTGAGTTAACTTTAAAACTTATTTTTTTTTATTTAATTAGTAATAGGACTTGATTTAGTCAAAAAATGAGTATCAAATATAAACGTTGAACTAGATGGGGATGATGATGAATAATTTAACTAGGAGAAGATAATCGGTCACAGTTTATTACTAGAACTAGAAAAGGAAGGCCATGGAAATTATAGCTATGAAACGCAATAACAAAAATTGCTTAGTTATCAATAGACTTTAATCTGAAAATCTGCATTATTGCTCAGAAAATTTCGGGTAATCTAATATTTTCGGGATTTATTTAATGTTTTATGTCATTCAACCCTCAAACCCGCCTGTCGTGTTTGGTCCCTTTTATCCAAAGGTAAAGTCTTTAGTTACACTAATCGACTGTTTGCTAACAGCACAAAGCTCCAAAGCCCAAAGTTGAAAATTTACGAAAGCAGCGTTAAATATCATCTGGCAGGATACGGGATATTTTCCTTTCCGGCTTACCTATTTTCCAGCTAGTTTTCAATGGAATCCTATCCTAAATTAGATACGATCCGAGTCTTTCATTATACGAACATGGATAAAAGGATATGTAAGTGCCAATTAAAATAATCCCACACGAAAAAAGAAACATTTATGGGCCTCGATTCATCATGCCATTGTCATTCCTGTTTGACTAACTTTATTTCTGTGATGAACATTCGTTTAGCCTGTTTAACAATGGTGTTTGTCCGGATTATGGATTGTATTTTTGGAAGTTTTCATGCAGTTGGTGATGGCAAAGCAGCTGAAAACAACATGAAAACTCTCACAGATCTACAATTTAGTTGATCAACAAGTTCGTTTGTTAGTCGATTAATCTAGTCGCAGATTTTTCCAATGTCCTGTAAATATTTTAACAAGATTATCGATCGTGTGCCCATTCGTTAGCTCGCAACAAAGATTTGTTTCATGGAAAAAATCCGCTTAGTATGCAATCCAACGATTTGAAACGACAAGTGCCTGGATTCAGGGTAATTTAATTTAAAGCCCTCTTTTAGACGATAAAGCACAAAATCGGATAATCTCTTATTGGGGATTATCCTATTTAGTGAGTACAAGCGAAGCTTAATGGACATCGCTAATCTAAATGCTAAATGATAAGCCACATTACTTGTCAGGCTCTATATTCAGAGGGAAACAATAAAAAGTTTTTATCTGGATTTTCCAAACACCAAAAAATAATTGAAGGCGCTAGAGTTCGAGTTGAATAGACAATTGGAGTGGCTAACTAAGCAATACAATAGATGATGGTACCAAGGGTGGCAAATAGTTCGATAACATGTTATTCAAGCAAGATACAAATGCTCGATTTTATTGACGTTAAACCCGTTTTTTTTTTTAATTTATCAAGTGAATCTGAAAACGTGACCGAAACCGCAAAAACCGAAAAGAGTATAGAGGGTGATTCAAAATTGATGCCATTCCTTATTATATCATCATCATAGTACATCACAAGTCAAGCAATAGTAGAAAATTATTTTCCTTATGGAGGTTCTAAAGAGATCTTCTTCTAAAGACAATCTTCTAGCAGATTGTTCAGAGAGAAATTTCGTTTTATTTTATGAATATGAAAGACAATCTTTCCTAGTCACTAGTCTACATGTTTGAAGCCGACCACTTATTTTCCTGAATGATCTCTTGCGTTTTTCATTGTTTCATTCCTCGTTCCCAGTGATAATCGGCGCAATGAAACATTTTCTTGACGTTTGAGTTTTTCTTGTGCAGTTATGCAGCGGTTTGAATCAATTTATGCTTTCATTGGGTTTACATCAGTTTTAAGGGTCCTTTCAAAGAATGCGATGCATTATAAAAATGTATATTGGAAAATCGAATTATTGGCATACTTCTTTATTGCATGAACAGCATTTTGACCTTTTCAATGCTAAAGAAGCAAAACATGCCGAAAATTATTTTTTTCATTTCCATAGGTATTTGAAAAGGTAACCTTCCCAACATACCATCTTAGAATGAATGAAACATTTCCGTAAGCAGGCATTTTTATATGAATGAAAATTATAAAAAATAGATTTAGAAAGTACCGTATTTAGCCAAAAATTGAAGCTTCTGTTATTCTGAATAACTAACACACGAAGTGAACTTTTTGAGCTCGTAAATACTTTAATTTGAACAATTGTTTTGACCACCCTGTGGCTTCAAAGATAAATATTTTGCAAATTAAATATTAATATAATAGCCCTTCCTCTTGCCAAATTAAAAAAAAATGTGTCTAAAGAAGGCGGAGTTATCTTTGTCAACAACATGAAAATATAAAATTTCATCTTTAGTTCCGAATAACTAAAAAACTATTTCGGAATGAAAATCTCAAATAGAGAACTGTCCCTACCTTTGAAAATTATTTAGGTATGCCCTACCTTGAAGGTGCCAAAATTCCAAACAAGAATTAACAGGACATAAATCTATCAGCTCTTTATTACTATGAATGCTAAATATTTTTAGAGAGGCCTCAAAAATATAAATTTCAACAACTATCTAAATTAGCTGTTTAAATAGTGCTCAAGTGAAGATTTTGAGCCGTTTGAATTTTGTTTGTTCAAACACCATCTGCAGTAGTAATACCTAAGTAAAAAACGTAACCAAGTCTAATTCCTCCAGAGAAATTATGTCAATAATGTAATTAGTCCAATACGAAAATGATAAGAAAATAAACTTTGTCTGAGGACCCAATATTCCAGTTGTCCGAAAAATTTATTAAGATTATTAAAATGTTATTATTAGTTACCATGTAGCCCGCTAATACCGTTTATCTGTTTATCAGGAATAAATTGAAACATTCTAAAGTTGAGCTTATACTACATAATTTCAATTGGTCTCCTGCGACTTTTATTGCGCTATAATTGACTTCTGTGTATTGAACGAATAAATACTTAAGTCTACATTATTTGTAGTTTATAATTCGATACTACAAAGTTGGTCATGGGATTGCCGACGATTTTCTAAGTTAAAATTTAATGTTATCAAAGCCCAATAAATAATGTTAGAACATAAAAAATAATGTAGGCCTTATCCACAGTCTGGTGACTTTTTACAAAGGCTTTTAGCAAGGTCCTTGGCTTTTAGCAAACCATTCAACTAATCCCAAGTTAAATAGAAAGTAGTATATTTTTTTAAATCCGGAATTGGCCTTTTTATGGTTTTATTATCGTTTGTTTTTAGATGCCGCGTATTTTCTTTTATGGTCATTAATTGATAATGAATATCAATTAACTATAAACGTTGATCATAAAGTATATTGTTCGTGGGGGCCTGTACGTGAAAGCGAACATGAAACTTTGCATCTCTAAGCTGTTTTTAGAATATTTCTTATAGGAATTTATTCGTCATTTTAAAACTGTTGCATATTTTGGATAACAGTCATCAGATATTTTTAGTATCATTATTTTAAACCCCCGACTCGGTGGCGGCGCTAGGGATGAACGAAGTTGGGCGAGCGTCCAACCAAAATGTATCTTTCCCAACCATTCCCCCAACCACTTTTAATAGCGATATAAATAAATGCGAATTTAAAAAATCAAATCAAATTCGACAATAATGATAGGGAACGTGAAAGCATTCCGAGTTGTTCCGGAATTGAAAAATTAGTTTTTAAGTACTTAATATTAATAAATTATTTTCTAATCTAAATACGGGTAGGAACGTGTTCCCTGCTAGGACAAGAGCCAAAGATTTTCATATAGAGGAAAAAGAAGTAATTGGTTTGGCTCTACAGCTACATGAACTTTCAAGACAGCCGGTCTTAGCAAGTTTTCCTAAAAAACAGTATGGTTGTGATCTCCGTAGCTTTAAGTCCAGTTGTTATTTCATGTGTCCTTGGGTTATGTACAGTATTGTCAAAGATGCTGTATTCCCTGATAGATTTGTCTTCAAACAAGGTAGAACCAGCAGTTTCAGTTTTGTGACCGAAGGCTACAAGAACTGGAAAAGGGCTGCAGAAACAAAAGCTAAATTTAAAAACATGAATAAGTGCATTTAATCCATCTACCACCATTTTTTAAAACTTAAACGTAAACTAAAACGTTTATTTCTTTAGCTAACCATTACCAATGTGCAAGTGTATAGTTTCAATTGAAAACGAGACAAAGCCATTGCTAGTTACCACTAAAAGGTATGAGGTCACAAATAATCTGAAACTAAACACTTTACCAGATCTGACATTCCTTTAGCAAAATTTTAATTTAGTATCAATGAAATGAATAAAATGTGTAATATTGCAATGACAGTACCATCTTCCAGTATAAGTTGCGAAAGAACTTTCAGCAGTTTAAAGAGAACTAAAAACATTTAAGAACAACCATGAGTCAGGATAGGCGTACTGACTTGGGCATCTTGTTTGTTGAAAAAAATATTGCGAAAAAATAGATTTAGAGTTAATTATAGATTCGTTTGCTGCTAAGCATAATAATAGAAGCATTCATATTTCATTATTGAATTATTTCACGATCTTATAAAAGTTTAATTCACTGTTTATAATGTTATTTTTGTCAAATTAAATATTTTTAATCTACTTTCCTTTAGTAAAAAGAATTATTCAATTCAAAAAAAAAGAATCGTTGATAATAGTTTTTATTACAATACTAGCGTTGTAGCGAATTCCATTCAGCATTGGTTTCCAACATAATAACGTTTAAAAAATGTTTTGTTATTTTACGAAAATAGATAAAATCTCGTATAATATTTCTATTGTAAATTCATATTGAGACACTGAGGTATTGTCAAACTCTGTTGGCTTCTTGTTTGACAAAAACATGTCGTTATAAGTGCTTATTAAAAATTAATCTTTGCAACGCTTGTATGGCAAATAAAAATAATTAAAATATATTTACATTACATTCGGCCAAAGAAAAAAACAAAATATTTCGTAAAACAGATATATAATATCCAACTTTTTCAATTAAAATTATACATATCTTCTGCCCATCTTGAAAAATGTTTTGCCCAAGCGGAAAATAAAGCTGGCGTCGCCAATGCTCGGACTAAAAATTCAACAAAACTGTGTGGTTTCAATTCTTTTGAAAAAATAATAATAAATCAGAAGTTTCTAAGATAGGGAGATTAAAAGCAAGGGTCTTTATTAAGCAAAGGTGATTATAACTTTATCAAATCAATACACTTTAATGAGTGTAGTTATTTACACTCATTAAAGTGTAGTTGAAATCTCTTGGAAAAGAAAAAAACTTCCATCGCCGGATGATTTATTTTGTAAAATTTTATTGTGAAATTTATAGTCATATTTAATATAATAGTTTAAAAATGTTAAAAAAATAAAATCAGGTTTTTTCAAAGTGACAAATTAAATAAAACGAACTTAAACTCTCGGTAACGGTCTGGAGTCCATTAGATCTTCTCTTATGACTTAGCTCACAAATGTCATTGTTATTTGCAGAAATGCTTGCTTAAAGCCCCATTCGATAAAGAAAAAAATTAGCAAACGTTTTGCATTCGTTGATATATATTAATTACATTTTGTTTAAAAATTACAAAGCACTTGCCCTATGCAAGGTTTCACGTGCATTTTTAGAATAAAATCCGGAACAAATAAATTAAGTAATATTAATCGTATTGTTACAAATGACATTCATATAATATTAGCGAAAAATGCTGTTCCCATCAGTGCTAACTGACAAACTAACAATAGATAACGGGCACGTACATAAAGATAATAGTAATAAAAGGGTAAGTAAGACAATATTATAAAACGCTGTGGAGGATTAAATCGTAAAGATTAAATAAATTTGAAGACTTATTTAAGGGTTTGCTTTCTCACATTACCACGTTAGTTTGTTTCAGTGAAATCGCCAACAAACTGATAATTCGCATGCTTACAGTGTTATTGTTTAAATAAATTTGTTCGAAAAGCAGAGGAGTCATGGGTAAAAGGTTACTATGCGTAACTCTGGCCATTATGAGCCTTGTTCAATATGTTTCAGCCAGTGAGTATTCACATAAATATATCCAGTGTATAATTTAGTTTTTGCAACATATTAAACACTGAAGAACGTATTTCACTGTCAACTTAGCCGGAAGTGATGATATTTAATTATAGTTTAATTTACATTTTAAGCAGCAAAGTAAAGAAAATGTTTGCGTTAAAGTTCGTAACGTTAACAGGAAAATAGAGAAATTTATAAGTACGGTAATGCTTTAGGAAGTAAAAAAGGTGCTTTACGGGCTTTAAATGGTTTAATTTCTATTACAAAAATTTGACCAGACGTGGATGCAGAAGTGAAAGTAAAATTAAATATAGTGAAATATCATAAAAACGAATATTCTTTTAGATAGGAATTCACTTTAGAACAAAATTTATTATAATCATTTTCGTCATTACCTACGATATTTTCTGACTTAGAAAAACAATTATACAAATCACGAAATCAGGAAAAGCTGATGCAACATAAGAAACATCTGCAAATTAAAAAAATAGACTCATTTTCCGAAATAATGATTCCACCGCATAAATACCCACTATGCTGTATCATCATAGATATATAGAGCAATCTTTATTAGCAGAATTATTGTTACTTTATTTCAAATTTTATGCTTTAAACACAAGAAAAACATCTTTCATAAATGGTTTACATAGATTTCTTCAGCATAATGCAACATTTTCCATGATGGATGGGTTAATATGATTTGATGGGCAGACTTAAGTGTCTACCTGAATATATTGTTTACCAAACACTCTGATAGCAACAACAGACGTGTAATACATTTCTGTGGGTGTTTCCAGATTACAGCTTATTGTCCAAACACGTCAATTAAATTGATATGCTGTCGTCAATCCCAATTAGTCAGTTTTGTGCGTCAATAATGCAAAGAACTGTGCGTTTTTTATTTTGGTGATTCACTTGAATCAGTTAAATATGTTTCTTTTTTAGTGTTTTTATATATATTATTACAATTTTGAAAATTTTACAGATTTCCTCCAATGTGATATGGAATTCGCCATGTAAATGTTTGTAGACACTTATCTGCTTGACTGAATTCCAAACTGTACAGATATTTATTTAATACTTTTTCTTTTTCCTTCCTTTTTCTCAAAATATATCTGTTTTGCTCTTATGTCGAGTGTGTGATAACATTCATGTGGGAAATGCATTGTTCTTGTATAATATGTGAACCATTGTTTGCCTTGAAATTATATCATGTTTGTGATTTTGCTGCCTTATACAGAAGGTGGCGAAAAACAAATCGGAAATCACTTTTTCGAAAAGTGCATCTTTAGAATTGATAGTAGGATTTTACGTAGAAGTCTAGGTAAAAATCGCCCCATTTTATATTCACATATTATATGTAGAATGCTGCTGAATGTAGAATGAAGCTTACCGCAATTATTTTCCAACTACGCAATATACATATAATGAAACGGTCAGTTTTGGAACACAAGACTTTGGAAACATTATGAAACATTCTAAAATTAGCAAAGAATTCCCGATCAATGCTGCTGGTCATTCGGTCGGTCGTTGGAAAAAAAATTGAGAAAAAACCTTCCATTTCTTGTCCTTACGCTTACTTTGACTTATTCTCGAAAAATATGAAGAACGAGAACTGCTACATTTTGTCATAAAACTAATAAATTTTTCATTTTGCATACATATATGAATCTTGTTACCAAATTATAATTTTTTTTGCAGTGAACTAGATAAAACGTATTGCTGTCATTTATCAATAAATTGTAAATGTTTATACATACTATATCGAACGTAAATGTATTCCTTATATACAGAGTGTTTAATTTAAGAGGCAACACTCAATTGCTAAAGTGAAATACTTTAACT